AAAGCGTGACGTCCCCACACCAAAAATCAATGGGAGTGCTGGGGTCTCAGGGTTGGGTGTCCTGTGGAAGGTTTCTTGTGGTCGAGCTCCTCCTATGGCCAGTCCCCTGCAGTTGCGGATAAGAGCGAGGGGGCGCGGCTGGGTCGGGGCACGGGTGGGTCGCGACCTTACCGCGTCGCGACCCACCTCGAAGGAGAAAGGTTATCGGTACCGCTACCCCTGCCTCGTTCTCGCCTTCTGGAGCCTCTTGAAATTCGAGTCAGAACGCACCCCGAGATAGGTCCGGGGAGCAGCGGTATCGGTACATTTGGGTTTCCCCAGGCCTACCCGCGACGCACCCCCGCCGCCACCCATCCGCGCTGATGACGACAAGAACGAGAACAATGAAAACATGACAATATACAGTTCGGTAGCGAATCATGAGAGCCTCGTGTAACTTCGCAATGCCGTTCTTAGAGTGTGTAAGCGTCGGCTAGTGTATGGCAATCGATGGGCCAGCGCCGAATTATAATCGATTAGCGTCGATTGGCTTTGACTTAGCGTCGACTAGTGTCGAGTAGCGTCTACTAGCGTCGATTCGCAAGGGCCAACGAGACAGAACGGGAGGCCCTCGTGGGTTGCCTCCGAAGGCCAAAGACAGTTTTCCGCGGAGGTCCAGTACAGCCACGCACCCTTGGGCCGTGCAAGGCCACTCGGCCCCCTCATCCTGACCTTCGGTATCGTTTTACCAGTGCTCATCCCCATCCCCTTCGAGACCCCCTTCCAAATGACCACCCCAGTTGGGGATGCACCCCTCGAAACCCGAAGGGAGCGACCGACCTATATCCCCATCAAGGAGGGTAAATCGGCCAGTGGGGCCCAGGCCACGCCGCTGGGGATGGGGATCGGCTAAACGATGGTCGGGACTGAAAGGAGGTGGGCTCCGCTGGCGGGAGCCGAGGCGGGCGGCTGGCACAGACCCTGCCCCACGAGCGAGCGCGGATCGAGGAGGCGAGGTTCTCGGACGTTGGCTTCCCCGACGTGGGCCTCGTCACCCTCGTGCTCCCCGGGCCCACTCGGGCCACGACAACGGGAGGTTTGGGGAGTTCTTGGCCTTTGGGAGCCCCCGCCGGGCCCCGGGACCGTCAGAGAGCGATCGAGAGTGAAATGTCGGTCAGACCTTCCAGGGTCCACGTCGTGCATGACAAAAAAACATGACGTCGGGGGTCTGGATCTTGGCCTCTAGCCGCCTGGCTCGCGTGAGAATTCAGCCCGCCTGTGGTACTGAAAGATTGCCCTGCTTCGTGGGCAAGGGTGCGGCCGACGCCGCGAAGGGCACGACTTGCAGGCAGCTGGGAGGGCATGCCTCGACACCCAACCGCGCGGCTGCCCCGATTTCCCCAAGGCGACCCATGACGGCGCAGGGCGCGGCCCAAGGGCGAGGAGGAGAAGGAGGAGGACGATGAGGAAGGAGGAGAAGGGCGAGGACGAGGAGCTGCGGAGGAGCTGAGGAGAAGGGCGAGGGCAAAGAGGACAAGCTGAAGACAATGATGACGACGAGAGGACGAGCTGAGGAGTATGAGAGGAGGACGACGACGACCACAATGACGACGACGAAGACGACGACGACGACGACGACGACGACGACGACGACGACGACGACGACGACGACGACGAGCCGAGGCGGCGGCTCCCCTCTGGCGCCGCTGCGCGCCAGCAGCCCCGAGCGCACGCGGGGGGGCCGGGCCCCGGGCTCAGGGGCGGAGCCGTGAGCCCCTCCTCCTCCTCCTCCTCCTCCTCCTCCTCCTCGCTCCTCCTCGTCCTCCTCCTCCTCCTGGACCCCGTCCTTCTCCTCTTCCTCCTCCTCCCCCTTGTCCTCCTCCTCGTCCTCCTCCTCCTCGTCCTCCTCTTCCTCCTCGTCCTCCTCCTCCTCCTCCTTGTCCTGCTCGCTCCTCCCCCCTCCTCCTCCTCCTCCTCCGCCTCCTCCTCCTCCTCTTCCTCCTTCTCCTCCTCCTCCCCCTGCTCCTCCTTTTTTGGACTTGGAGTCAGGATGAAGTGCACGAAGCGTCACCCGCCAGGAAGAGGAAACACGAGACAGGACAAGGGCAAGACAAGAGCGAATGAGAGCACGCGAAGCATGCGATGAACCCGGGAGCCTGCCAGGGCAGGAACGGGGTCCCGACACCCGAAAGGGGCAGGGCGGGCCGAGGCCTCGCACCGTGTTGCCTCGGGCCCGCAAGGGCTCTGGGCGAGAGAGTTCACGAGCAAAGTCGGTGCCCAAGATAAAAACCCCACACTGCCAGGGCCTATGCAGTGTGTTGGGGACGCTCAGAGGTGCACGTACACGTCCAACGCCTCCAGGACCAACCCCCCCCCGCGGGGAGGGGGCCCCCCTGCCACCCGCCAGGCACACCAGGCACTGGTCGGGGACACAGGACACCCCTCGCCACCAGGCGGGGCACCTGGTGCGAGTCTCGGGGCGGGTGCCCTGGCCTGCTCCCCCCAGTCCACTTGCCCAAGGGGGACAGAGCAGGACACCCCGTGAGCCTGGCCGCAGCCAGACCCCCCCTCCACACCCTGGCGCGACAGGGGAGTCGCCGGGCCAAGACAGTGGAGGGGACCCGATTCGGCGGTAGCCGAATCGGGATTACCGTTTAGGCCCGAAGGCCGGGGTCGGTGCCCCCACTGCCGAAACCACCCACCCGCCCACGGCAATGCCGTGGGAGGGTGGGTGGTTTCAGCAGTGGCGCAGCCCCCAAACAGGCCACGACTAAGCGGGTTTCAGTTCCCCCGGACGCCGGGAGGTGCCGCCCACACCAACCGGCTGCCCGCCCGGGGGCTTGCTCCTCCTCCTTTTCCTCCTCCTCCTCCTCCTCCTTCTCCTCCTCCTCTTTCTCTTCCTTCTCTTTGTATTACGCCTCATACCTCCTCCTCCTCCTCCTCCTCCTCCTCCTCCTCTTCCTCCTCCTCCTCCTCCTTTTCCTCCTCCTCCTCCTCCGCCTCCTCCTCCTCCTCCTCCTTTTTTCCTTCTTCTTACAGTGCGGAAGGTTGGCTTGAGGTGTGATGAGCTCCCGCCCAACGAGTCCACGCGCCGCAACCAGCAAGATGCGATCAGGCGCGTCGAGAAGGGCCTGGCGCCGCGTGCCTGACGTAGCCACGCGGCGCGATGATCGACCATGTCGTGATTCGCTGCCGTTCCGTGTTCGGCTGGTGGCACGGCGTCTTCTTCGGCGGCGACGCCTTCTTCATCGGCGGCAAGTTGGCCTGCGTCCACGGCCTTGAGGGCGATTTCTTCCAGCGGCTCTCCTTCCACATTGCTTCCTGTTCTTACGGTACCGTGCCGTGAGTAGGCGGCGCCAGCGGGTAGTCCGTCGCCCGCCCGCGTGCGCGGCGGGAGACCTTCCTGAGGCGCTGCGCTCCTTCTCCTTTTTCTTCTCCTCCTTCGTGCCTCATCCTCCCTTTCCCTCCCTCCTTCTCCTCTATCCTCTTCCCAACTCCTATCCTCTCCCTCCCTCCCTCCCTACCTCCTCGTAGTCCTGGCTCGTCATCGTCCTTCTCACCCTCTGTCTCCTCATCAGCCCCATCGTCATCCCCATCATCAGCAGCATCTGCAGCATCAGCGTCAGCATCATAATCATCAGCACCATCGTCGTCATCGTCATCAGTTTCATCGTCATCAGCATCATCATCAGCCGCAGCATCATCATCGCCAACATCAGCATCATTGTACGCAGTATCAACACCAACACCATTCCTACGCCCTTTTTCCTCTGCTCCCCCTTTTTTCCCTCCCTCACTCCCCGTCGTTACCCCCGATGGTCTCCCGAGCGGCGCGCACGGGTAAACGAGGAAGAGGAGGAAGAGGAGATATGAGGAGCAGGCACGAGGAGGGGGAGGAGGAGGAGGGGGAGAGGACGAAGAGGAGGCGGAGGAGGAAGATGAAGACCAGGATGAGGACCAGGAGGAGGGGATGAAGGGAAACCCGAGGAGGTAGGAAATGGTAATGAGTGGCGGAGGACGGATGATGAGAATGAGGCTGGCACGGGGGAGGCGGGAGGCCGCCAGCGGCGCCATCGGGTCCGCGACCGGAGGAACGAGCGGGCGAGGTGAGAGCGAGGGCGGCGGCAAGGGTGGGCAGGCGAGGCGGCTGGGATGAGGCGAGGCGGCCGGCGGAGGCAGGGGTGCGCACTTCGCCGAGGAATGCCTGCCGGCCGGCCTGTCCTCGCCCGGGGCCTGCCCGGTGGCTCCCGCCTCCCCCCCCCTCTCTTCGCCCCCATGTTTCGCCCCCCCCTCCCTCCCCCACTCCCCGCTCCTCCCCCCCCCTTGCCCCGCCCCGCCCGCCCCAGTTTGCGCCCTCGCCCCCCCGTTTTCCCCCCCTCCTCCGCCCATCCCCCTCGCTCGCTGCCCGCATGGTTCGCCCCCCCTCCCCCGCTGCCTCCGCCAAAAGGGCACACCGCCGAGGCGCGGGTCCGCTTCACCCACTCCTCCTCCTCCTCCTCCTCTTCCTCCTCCTCCTCCTCTTCCTCCTCCTCTTCCTCCTCCTCCCCCTCCTCCGCCTCCTCCTCCTCCTCCTCCTCCTCCTCACCCTGCTCCTCTTCCTCCTCCTCCTCCTCGTCCTCCTCCTCCTCCTCCTCCTCCTCCTCGTCCTCCTCCTCCTCCTCCTCCTCCTCCTCCTCATCCTCCTCGCTCGACTGGGCATGGCTCTCCTGCAGCCTCTCTCGCCCCCCATCGCCCGCAGCGCCGCGTCCTCCGCTCCTCCCTGCCTCCCTGCTTCCCCTCCTGGACCCTGCAGCCCTGGCGGCCAGCAAGAATACAGCACAACGCTGTGCCTGCCTCTGCCCTCCCCGGGGGCCGTCGTCGTCGTCGTCGTCGTCGTCGTCATCGTCGTCGTCGTCTTCGTCGTCGTCAGCGTCGTCAGCGTCGTCAGCGTCGTCAGCGTCGTCGACGTCGACGTCGACGTCGACGTCGTCGTCGTCGTCGTCGTCGCCGCGCCGAGGTGTCCGTCGTCGCCAGCCCAGCGCCTCCGCGCCTGCGCTCCGCGAGCCCGCTGCGCGCGGCCAGCAGGGCGGCGTGCGGCGCCGGGGCCCTGGCCAGCAGCCCGGCGCAAGCGGTGCGGCGAGCCGTCGGCGCCGAGGGGGCGGGGACCTCCCTCCTGCCTCCTTCCTCCTCCCTCCACCCTCCTGCTTCCTCCCTCCTCCCTCCTCCCTCCGCCTCCCCCGCCCTTCTCATTCCTCCTCCTCCTGATTCCCGATTCCTGTCTCCGGATCCTGATCCTGATGTTGCTTCGCAACTGTGCTGATTCTCGATTCCTTCTTAATTCCCCTCTCCCTCTCTCTCTCTCTCCTCCTCCTCCTCCTCCTCCTCCTCCTCCTCCTCCTCCTCTCCTCCTCTCCCCCTCCTCCTCCTCCTCCTCCTCCTCCTCCTCCTCCTCCTCCTCCTCCTCCTCCTCCTCCTCCTCCTCCTCCTCCTCCTCCTCCTCCCACCCCTCCTCCCCACCCCACCTCCTCCTCCTCCTCCGCCTCCTCCTCCACCTCCTCCTCCTGCTGCTCCTCCTCCTCCTCCTGCTGCTCCTCATCCTCCTCCTCCCTTCTCATCCCTTCTCACCGCACCATTTGTGTCCCCTCCCCCACTCCCCTTCCACATCCGCCACCCTTCGCTACCCGGACCCCCTCTCTCCCTCGATCCCTCCCTACCAGCTCAGGCCCCTTGAAACCAGAGCGCTGCAAACCAGGACTTTGGAACATGCTTCGACCCACGGCTGCGGTTTTCTCGGGCGCGACCACCTTTTCGGGCCCCTTCGGGGCAATCAGAGACGGGTGCAGGGCGCAAAGTTGGCCTTAAGGAAAGGGTCGGCACCACTGCAGGCCGCTGCTTGAACAACCCACATCATTGGATGTCTGGGGTCGATTGCCTCCGTCGCCTCGGGAGTTCTTCAAGACCATGACCAGGACATGCCAGGACGCGCTCCAGGAAAGGCCCAGGGGCCCTCGGAGGCTCAACATTTCGCACCCCAGCGAGGGCGCGTCCGCCACGGCGATGGCAAGCGGCGGCCACGGCCACGGCCAGGACACTGCGTCGCCGACGGCACTGACGGCGGCACAGCGCTGGCGACAGCGCCGCCGACGAGCGCCCGCAGCAGCGACGAGCCGCCGAGCGCTGGCGCCGGCGGCAGCAGCGGCCGGCGGCGGCGGCGGCGGCGCAGCGCCGGCGGCAGCGGCGGCCCGCAGGCTGTACCACCGTGCTGGTGTCCGCGCCGCCGCCGCCAGTGGCGCCCGCGCTGGCCGTACAGCGGCAGCTGTCCGCCGCGGCGCTCGCGCCCTCGCCGCAGAGGGCGGCCCCGTCGCCAGCGGCGGCCTCGTCGCTGCCGCCGCCGCCGCCGCCCACCGCCGGCCGCTGGCCCGCCGCCGCCACCGGCGTCGTGGTCGTGGTCGTGGCTCTCCGTCGTTCGTGAGCGCCGGCGGCGTCGACGAGGAGTTGTCGTGGTCGTCGTCGTCGTCGTCGTCGTCGTCGTCGTCGCCGTCGTCGTCGTCTCCGTCGCCGTCGCCGTCGCCGTCGCCGTCGTCGCGACCATCATCGTCGCCGCCGCCGCCATCGACTTCCTGTCTCCTCGTGCTCCCACTTTCCCTCCTCCTCCTCCTCCTGCTCCTCCTCATCCCTCCTCCCTCCTCACTTTCCTTTTCAGCATCCTCGCGCTCCTCCCTGTTCTCTTCATCCGCTTATTCGTTTTCCTCCTCCTCCTCCTCCTTCCCACCTCCCTGTCACCTCCCCCATCCACCTTCTCCGCCCTGGGGTGGCAGTGCTGAGCAGGCACGGCTTCAGTGAGGCAGTCCCAGTAGAAGCGGAGGAAGGACCAGCAGTAACAGCAGAAGGAGCAGCAGTGGACCGCGTGCAAGGGAGGACGGCGTGTAGCAGGGGAGGACTGCGTGTTTGGATTGTTTGGGCTCAGGAGTGTGGGGGGGGAAGGAGGGGAATTGCGTCGGAGATGGCGAGGTGGAGGGCGGGTCCAGCGGGGAGGGGGGGCGTGGAGAGCGGGGAGGAGAGTGGTCCAAAGACCCTCTGGGAAGCGCAGCCACGGCCGACATAGTGCAGAGCTTCGGCTCTCCCCCCGCCTCCTGGCATTCGCGCCGCAAGGGTGGGGGGGGAGGGCAAGGTGCGTCGGGCGGGCCTTCCTGAGGCAGCCTGGGGGCGTTCACCTTGGCTTCTGCTATCCCCGCCCTTTCGCAGCCAGCGCCCCACCCATACAGCCCCAGCCCTGCTCCCCGTGCCCCCGCGCACCCGCTCCTGCCGCCGTTCCGCCGCCGCCCCGCCGCCGATGCGCCGCCGCCGCCGCGCCGCCGCTGCGCCGCCGCTGCGCCGCCGCCTCGCCGCCGCCGCGCCGCCGCCGCCGCCGCCGCCGCCGCCGCGCCGCCCGCCGCCGCCGCCGCGTCGCCGCCGCCTCCGCCGCTGCGCTGCACCGCCGCCGCGCCGCCGCTGGCACGCCGCGGCGCCGCCGCCGCCACCCACCCCAACGCAGCGGCGCCGCCCCACCTCGCCGCCCCGGCCATGCTCAGTGTGCCCCTGCAGGCGCCCAGCCTGCCGCCCTTCTCGGTCGCGCCGCCTCCGGGCGCCCTCCGGCGGCACGCCGCGGCGGCGCCCGCGTTGGCAGCGGCGGCCGCCGCGGGGCGCGCGAATTCAGGACGCCCAGGGGGGGAGCCGACTAAACTTACGTCGGGCGTGTCCCTCTACAGGGGATATCTTCAGAAATCATTTTCAACATAGTCTGGGGACGATTGTTCGAGCATTTTTGGGTTATGTTTGAATGTTCGTCTAAATCCAATGTTTCATTTCCCTTTCAAAATCAACCTGTAGGAGGACACGCGCGAATTGTGAGACTAGACGTAAGAGTGACCTTTTCGTTGGAGTGACCTCTGGTGCGAGCACAAATAGGGGTTCCCCGATCGCTGACTGCCAAGCGGTAGTAGCGGCTTGCGCGCCTAGGTTTGGCCACCACGCGTCCCCCGTTAAGCCGCGCACCAAAGGTCACCATTACCCAGGGTCATTCTTACGTGCAGCCGACGGGTGGAATGGAGAGGAGGGAGCTCGGTCGGACCCGGTATGCCCTGAGATCCTGGCGTGGCGTGGCGATTGTTTGCCTTGCCTCGGGCCCAGGGACCCTCACGGATGGATCCGGTGCGGAAAGTGCAGCAGAATGATGGGGTCCAGGGCTCCATTCATGATGTGTTGCCATGTTGTTGTTTGTTTCACGTCGGATTTCAGGGTTGCTGCAGCTTGCGCGCCGTCTTACGGAAGACTCTCACCCCGAGGGCTAATCGTGGTGGTATGATTTTTTCTGAGCAGAAAATGTACTCGCGCGAGTCTTGTGCGGATGCCTTGTGAGGGGGCATTGTGCGCTTCTGAATGCCCTTGGGATTGGATCCGCGCGCGTGCTTATGCAGGAGAAGGAGGAGGCGCAGAACATGCACGATACATACGGGCCCTTTGCACAAGAACCCATTGTGCCCCATGTGCGCTGGCACACTTCGCTCCGGCATCTCTTATGAAACGTAGTGCTGGCTGTTCCGACCGCCAGCGCCCCCCCCCCCGTGAGGGGAGACCCCGCCCCGAATCCCAAGCGGCCCAAGGCACAGATGCCAGACGGCGGCGGACGGCGGGGGCCCGGACAGGCTCGCGTCGTGAAGGCATCATGGCGGGAGAGCTGTGGGGCCTTTTCCCAGTGCTGGGGCCCCAGGGCCGTGAGACAACGGCCCGGAGCGGAGAACTTGGGACCCGTGATGATTATTGTTGTTATTATTATTATTATCATTATCATTATTCTTATTATTAGTATTATTATTATGATCAATATTATTATTGTTTTCATTTTTATCATCCTTATTAGTATTAGTGCTATAAAACAAAAAAACAAGACAAGACGTCGGACGTCTGAGGAGGGAGTGCAGCGGGGAGATGGGGGATGAGCATGATGGGGCCCCTCGCGGCATATCTGACGTCTCACCTCGCCCTCCCATCCCTTTCTTCAACGCTCGATCCCTCTCTACTCGCAGAGTCGGATGTCCCTCCCTTTGAATTGAAGAGACATCGGCACGCCCGAGCCACCCTGGGGAGACACAAGCTGCACGTGGATGCAGGTGTGCGGCCAGCACCGCGGCATGATAATTGCACCGTTGGACGAAAGCCCGATGGAACTCTTGAGTGTGACTCGCGCTGTCCCCCTCCGCTTTCTCCTCTTCCCTCCTCCCTCGCCGTCCCCTTCGTCCTCCCCTTTCCTCCTCCTCCCCCCCTGCTCCCTCGACGTCCCCCCTCGTCATGCTCCTCCGCCCTCCCTCCCCGCCGAGGAGGAGGGGAGGAGGAGAAGGAGGAGGTGGAGGAGGACGTCGACGACGACCACGACGACGACAGTCGACGACGACAACGACGACGACGACGACGACGACGACGACGACGACGACGACGACGACGACGACGACCTCGGTGACGACGACGACGACGACGACGACGACGACGACGACGACGACGACGACGACGACGACGACGACGACGGTTGACGACGAAGAACACGGTCGACGACGACGACGACGGTTGACGACGACGGCGACGACGACGACAGGGGGTGCAAGACTCCGACCTGTCCTGCCAGGCGCGGCCCTCCTGCGCGCTCCGCGGGCCAGGGCGCGCGCGAGCGCCACAGGGAGGAGGAGGAGTGGGAGGATGCTTGGTTGCATGGATGGATGGATGGATGGATGGATGGATGGATGGATGGATGGATGGATGGACCGATGGAAGGATGGATGGATGGGTGTATGGTGGGTGGGTGGGCGGGAGGGGGCGGGAGGAGGAGGGGGGAGGGGAGAGGAGCCGACGGACCCAGAAACCGAGGAGAGGGAGGAGGAGGGAGGAGGGAGTGCGAGGAGGAGCGAGAGGCGGAGGACCCTCGCAGCCGCCCCCCCTGCCGGCCGCGACGCGCGGCGGAGGACCTCCGCCGCAGGCGCCGCCCTCGTCGGCGCCGGAGGGCTCCGAGCCCGAGGAGAGCGCGGCGGGCGTCGGGGGCAACTTCAGGGGGGGGAGGGGGGGGGGGGGCAGGCTCGGGGGGAGGGAGGGAACGTTTCGACGCCCGATCGCCCGCTGATCCTCCTCCTCCTCCTCCTCCTTCTCCTCCTCCTCCTCCTCCTCCTCCTCCTCCTCCTCCTCCTCCATCTCCTCCTCCTTCTCCTCCTCCTTCTCGTCCTCCTCCTTCTCGTCCTCCTCCTCCTCCTCCTAGCCCGCCCTACGTAGCACCCTGCGCGGGGGGCAACGTAAGACTCGAGTTCGTCGGGGATGTGCCGACGCTTTTTGACGGGCCCGTCTTTAATCTTGACGGTCCAGAGTTCGTGGGATGTTAGCAGCGGGAGTTCGCGTCAAGTTTCAGGCGGGGTATTGTGATTTTCCGGACGACCTCGTCAGGCCAACCCGAGTGCCCCGATTTCGAGATTCCCGCCCCCCCTCCCGACCCGCAATTGCGGGTAAGGATGAGGGGGCGTGCGCGGCGTGGGTCGCAGGTGAGTGTCGGGTGGGTCGCGAGGTAGGTCGCGAGTGGGTCGCGAGGTGGGTCGCGGCTGGGTCGCGGGGGGGACGACGAGAACAGCAAGCAGAATCCGCGCCGCGGAATCCCACCTCAGCCACGCACCCAGGGATGGTGTAAGACCGTTCGGCCCCCTCACTCCGAGACTGTGATGCGGCGTCGCCATCGGGGGCCCTTCGGAGCGTGTTTCTTTCTTGCCTGGGCCATAACGCGCGTTATGGCCCCCGCCCCGCTCCCCCCCCCCAGTGCACCCCAGGCACTGCCGCCGTGCGCATAGGGATCCGCATAGCCTATGCGGCATAGGGAGCCGAACAGGGATCCGCATAGGCGTCCGCATAGAAGTCTGCAGAGGGATCCGCCCGCATGGGGATCGCAGAGGGATGTCCATCGGGATCTGCAAAGGAATCTGCATAGGGATCCGCATTGCGCATTGGGATTCCCATAAGGATCCGCATACGGATCCGCATAGGGCTCCGTGCAGAGATTCGCATATGAATCTGTACAGAGTTCTGTATACGGCTCCGCATACTCATCCGCATGGCAATTCGCATGGGGATCCGCATAGGCGTCCGCACAGGGACCTCCCTAGAAAACCGCATAGGGGTCCGCATAGGAATCCCAATAGGGATCCGCACGGGCATCCCCATAGGGATCCGCATGGGGATCTGCGGTGGTCGCGGGCAAGTTGCGGTATTCTCAGGCACGTGTGTCGGGGGTGGACAGGCCTCCTACCCTGACACGTCGATTAGCGAATCGGCCGTTTTGGGTTCGCGAGAGGGCGTCGCGGCCGTCATTTTTGCGGGTCCAGGTCCGTCGGTTTTGGTCCCAGGCCGTTTTCACTAAAGGGTGGTTTACTAAAGAGAGGCTTGTCCGTCGCCGATTGTGGTGTTCGTAAGAGAAGGAGCAAGAGGAGGAGAAGGACGACGACGACGATGAAGGAGGAGGGAGGGAAGGAGCGTACCGCTTATACGCCACGTGGAGGCAGCGACGCCTTTGCAGGCATCTGCTCGCCACAACACGTCTCTTGCAATCGTCGCTGTTCGTCGTCGTCGTCGATCGTCGTTGCTCGTCGTCGTCGTCGTCGTCGCCGGCGTGGTGGTCGTCGTCGTCGTTGTCTTCGCCAGTCGCCGCTCGCCGTCTCTATGGCCTTCGGGCCTCCGGAGGCCTCCGGCCTTTGGAAGACTCCGGGAGGGTCTCAGGAGGCCTGACTGGCCTCGGGAGGCCTCCGGCGGCCTCGGGAGACCTCCAGAGACATCCAGAGACCTCCTGAGAATTCCAGAGGCATCGCTCGTCGTCGTCGCCGTCGCCGTCGTCGCCGTCGCTTGACGCTTGTCGTCGTCATCATCGTCGTCGTCACCGTCGTTGTCGTCGTCTTCGTCGTCGTCTTAATCGTCGTCTTCGTCTTCGTCGGCGTCGTCGTCTTCGTCGTCGTTGTCGTCGTCGTCGCTCGTCGCTCGTCGCTCGTCGTCGTCGTCGTGCGCGGGGACGCTGCGGTGGGGTCGGAACCGCACTGCAAGGGGGGGGGGCGTGACGTTATGGCCCTCGATCCCCACCCCCAAACGCCCGTTACCGCCGCGAATAAAAGAACGAGCGCTCGCCGAGCCATCGGCGATGCGTCGCCGACCGCAGGCCGACGTTCCCCCCCGGCCGACCGCCCCCCCTGACGTTGCCTCTCAGGGGGCTGGGGGCGGGCGCTGCCGCGGAGAGCGGGGGGAGGAGCCCCTGGCATCGCTCGGAAAGTGTGCGTTTTTTCCTCGGCGAGGACCACCGACGAGCATCCTCGATCATTTGCCGGAAAGACCACGCACGAAACCGACAAAAAACACAGGGAATGGACGTCCGAGCGATGGGGAGGGGCCTGGGGGCGGCCCCCCTGCAGACGTGCTTGGAGCTCCCTGTCGCTCTTGTGCTAGGCCTGCCGCTCATGGTGGGGGCGCCCTGCCGCTCATGCCGGTCTCCCTCCGCTCCCTCCCTCCTCCACGTCCCCCCTCCTCCTCCTTATCCCTCCTCCTCCTCCTTCTCCCTCCTCCCTCCCTAGCTCCTTTCGAGTTCCCCTGGAAAGAGCTTCGGCCCAGGACTTTTCGGAAATGGCTTTGGCCCAGGGCTCTCCTGACACGGTTTCTTCGGCTGGTGGTTTTCCAGATCCCTTCTTGGGGCATCTAACATCCCTCTTGGGGCATCTAACATGGTGTCCCGAGCTGCAGCCAGGTGTTTTCACGTGTCCAGGCCACCCAGAGGGGTGTCCAACATGGTGATTCCGAGCTGAAACCACGTGTGTTCACGTGTCCAGGCCACCTAGGGGAGCATCTGACATGGTGGCCCCGAGCTGGAGCCACGTTTCCAGGCCACACATGGGGGTACCTAACATGGTGGCCCCGATCTGGAACCATGTGCTTTCACGTGCCCAGGCCATCTTGGGGGTATCTAACATGGTTGCCCCGAGCTGGAGCCATTTGTTTTCACGTGTGCAGGCCACTCAGGGGGGTATCTAACATGGCGGCCCCGAGCTGGCACCACGTGTTTTTACATGTCCAGGCAATCCAGGGGGGTATCTATCATTGTGGCCCCGAGCTGGAACTACGTGTTTTTACGTGCCATGGCCGCCCTCGGGGGTATTCAAAACGGTTGTTGCAGATCTCCCCTCGCTGGAGCCACGTGCTCTCATGTGGCCAGGCCACCCAGAAGATGTCCCCAACACATTGGCAACGGAGCTGGAGCCACTTGTTCTCACGTGCCCAGGCCACCCGAGAGGGTACAGTCGGGGCCCTGAAGAAGGAACCCTTTTCGTTGGGGAGGGGCTCCGTGTTCCTTAATAGTTTCGCAGTTTGCCTTGGATTTCCCTTAGGTTTTCTATACGAAATCGAAGTTCAACTCATGGAAAATAGGGGCCTCGTTCCTTCTTTAGGGTTCCTTAGGTCAACGCCTCGACTGCATCCAACATGGTGGCCACAAGCCGGAGCCACGTGCCAACCCCGGGGGGGGCGGGCATCTAACACGTGGTCGCCGGGGCGCCCCCAGCGTGGGGGCCCACAGAGCCGGGCAAGATCGATGCATCTACTCTTGAGTCGGGCGTGTCCCTCTACAGGAGGGACATGCAGAAAGAGTAACAAACAGTCTGGGGACGATGTTTTGAGCATCTTTGAATATTTCTTGCATGCTTTAATACTATGTTCTACTTACGCAGGACGAAAGATTTTCCTCTTGAGGTGCAAATGGCCATGAGGAGTTCGCGAGACAACGTCGGCGCCGCCGAACGGACGGCGACCAGACGAGCTGTTTACAGCAACCGGGGGGAGAGGGATGTATGTATTCATGTTGAATGGGGCCCGCTCGCGCGGGGAGTTGATGGGAGTGCGCGAGACGACGCAGCGCCCATCGTGGAACGTTGATTACCGAACCCTCCTCCCCCGTAGAATCTTAACACGGGCGGTTTGCGGGGTCCGCGGATCCGACTTCTTCCGGTTCCCTGTTCTAATTTAATAATACTAATTTTAAACAGTGTAGAATTCGGATCCGCCGTGAAAAATCAGACCGAACACGGATCCAGCAAATCCGAAATCGGATCCGCGCGGACGGAAATCGGATCCGCCGAAACACAAACCCAAACCAAAATTGGATCCGTGCGAAGTTCATTGGATCCGACGGCGGGTATTTCGCACGCGTCTGCTTAAGACTTTAAACCTTCGCTGCGGGCCCAAGAGGAAGACACTTTCGTCCTGGGGATGCATTTGTCGTGCAAAATCGGCCTCTAGGTGGGCGTGCCCGATTGAAATCTACATTGAATAATTTGGCACGGTTTTTCCGGCTGGTAATTCTGAAGATTTCCCCATGGGGCGTCTCACATGGTGGTCCCGAGCTGGAGCCGCGTGTTTCACGCTCCCCGGCCACCCAGGAGTGTATCCAACATGGTGGCCCCGAACTGGAGCCGCGGTCGCGGTCGTCGCCGTCCGCCGTCGTTGTCGTTCTTGGCGCTTCGGCCTTGTGTCGATGCGTTTCGCCTGGGTGCTGCCCTTGTCGCTTCGCCATGTTTCGGAACGTAATCGTTTCATAACGCTTCGACTGCAATCAGCCATGGGCGAGTAAGGAGCCCAGGCAGCTCAAGCTCGAGGCCCAGCTCAGTACTGTTAGAATTTGGATGTCTGGGCAGATTTGATCCGCGACGCAATAGAGCACAGGACTGTTCAGATTCGCCCCCTTTCGGTTCGGCCCGCTTCATAACTGAGTTGAATATTGAGCTTGAGCTGGTCCAGGGCTCCGCGCGTTTCGATAGCGGCCAAATCTAAGTTAATGCTTTTAGGCAGGTCGAGCTTACGATCCAGATCAGTTCGATCGGGATTCTGACGCCACGTACGACCTGATCTGCAAAACAATCGAGCACAGCACTACAACATCTCAGTTCATCACAGCACAGCACAGCACAGCCCCTGGCATGGTACATCACCACCGCTACCTCAAGCATTGCACTTGCCCGTCGCCCAATTTTGGTGTCGTCAGCAGCTTCCATGCTTCACATGTTTAAATACCTCTCCCTGGCGCGTCGCGTGGCCCGTTCCCTGGCACGTTTTGTGGCGGCTCCCGTGGCGCGTCCCCCTGGCACGTCGCGCGGCGAGTCCTCTGGCACCTCTCTTGGTACATCCATTGGTACGCTCCGTGGCGCGTCCCCCTCACACGTCCCGCGGTGCGTCCCCTGGCACGTCCCCTGGCACGTCCCCTCACGGGTCCCCTGGCACGTCCCCTGGCGCGTCCCATGCGACGTTCCGCGGCGCGTCCCCCCGGCATGTCCCGCGGCGCGTTGCTGTGCGTCGCGGCGCGGCGCGGCGTGTCAGCACAACACTGCCCATGGCACAGCATCATCGTCACCCGCGATATTTTCAGCATTTGCCACTGCCCATCGTCCAATGGAGGTGCTTCGAGACGATTCCCTGCCTCGCAGTTCGAACTCCCCTTCCGGGCTCGTGCGCCGCGCGTGCTTCTCGGTAGGTCAACGCGTGCCCGTCCCCGGCCCTCCACATTGCGCAGGGCCGGCGCACCTGTCCTGCCAGCAACCATGAGCTCGCGCAGGGCCGGCGAGTGAACACGTCGAGGGAGTCCCGAGCAAAACTCATCCCTCACTTCCGCCAACCTTCTGGCGGCCCCCGCCCGCTCCAAAGAATGACGTCGCGTAGGGCTGGCGAATGGATATGTCGAGGAAAGACTGGGCGAAACTCCCCGCCATGCTTCCGCCAACCTTCTGGCGGCCGCCGCACGCTGGGCCGCCAGCGGTCTGTGCTTTCCCGCCGCTTTCCTCCAGCCCTTCTCCGCCGAGGGCGAGGCGTCCACCTTTCAGCCCGCAGGAGGCGCGCACCCCTCTGACATCGTCAGAAAACGCAGCCATTTTCACGGGCTCCAGATTTCGTATGAGAAGATCAAGAACCTGAACTGGACTCTGGGCGTTTGCTTGGAGGCTCTCTTCTTTGCGGAGTGCTCGCAGATCTGGACCTGGACTACAGGTTACGAGAACGCCCGGAGTAAGCCGATTTTCTTGGCGTAAGCTGGGCTGTTAACAATCAGTTCTAAATTTACTAACTTAGATTTAGGTACCAGGCGTCAGGAGTGAGAACTTTTACATGCCAATGAGTTCAACCGTCCATCCTGTCACGGGCACCAGGGTTGTCGGGATATGGCTCGGTTGTCGAACTTGTGTAATTTTTTGGGTGGAGATCCGACGACTTGTGCAGCCTTCTTGATGGGGAACCGATGAGTTGTGCAACCTTTTTCCCGGAAGGGCGCCGGCCCAGGGTTCTCTTTTAGAATGGTAATCTGTCTCCGGTGCCATGCGGGAGGTGGGCCGACGGAATTCCGCTCGATAGAAATCAGGGTGAAGTCCAATTCGGAGTGAACAAAATGCGTTTCGCGCGTGCCCGCTCGAGGAAAGTCGACCCCCCATCTCGGATCCTCGATAAAGAACGGGGTCCGCGGACCACCATTTTCTTCAGAAAATTAATATTTAAAAAAAAACGACGTCTGGAGCCCCGACCTCGACGCGGAAAAGCACCCCGCGCGCAGGAATTCGGAGGATGTCTCGCGCGTGCCGCCTCCCGCGCGCAGAAATTTCGAGGATGTCTCGACTAATTCGCTTGTTTTTCCAGGATTTAGCGTGAACGTATTGAGTTTTTGCGTGCCCGCTCGAGGATAGTGCACCCCCGCGCCAAACATCGAGGATGTCTCGAGCGAAACGCTTATTTGGCAAAACTTGAAGGGCCTGGGTGCCCCAGCATGCCCCAGGAGACCCTGGGAGCGCGGACGCGGCGGCGTAGTTTACAAGGGATCGTAGCCCTTGGAGCTCGGACCACGCGTAATTTGCGTGGGATCGTGGCCCTCGGAGCGCGGGCGCAGCGTAATTTACAAGGGGTCGGGGCCTTGGGAGCTCGGACGCAATGTAATTTACTAGGGATCGCAGCCCTTGGAGCGCGTGCGCAGCTTAGAATATAAGGGATCGGGGCCCTGGGGGCTCGGACGCAGCGTGATTTACAAGGGATCGTGGCCCTGGGAGCGCGGACGCAGCGTAATTTACAAGGGGTCGGGGCCCTGGGAGCGCGACCCCAATGTAATTGAGCGAGACGTCCCGCGATGCGTCGCCTGGCGCGTCCCTTGGGACGTTCCACGGCGCGTCCTCCTAGCATGTCCCCCGGTCAATTAGCTCTGGGGCAGATATCATGTGCACAGGCAGCTCGAGCTTAAGATCCAGATCAGTTCGGTCAGGACTCGGATGCAAAGGAGGATTCGATCCACAACGCTGTAGAGCACATTGGCGGCATGGCACATCGCAGTTCAGCACGGCGCAGCACAGCACAGCCTCTTGCACGGTACATCAAGATCGATACATTCAGCACTGCACTTTGGCACGTTCCGTGGCGCGTCCCGTGGCGAGTCCCTTTGGCACGTCGCGCGGCGCGTCCCCTGGCACGTCCCGTGGCACGTCTATTGGCACGTTCCGTAGCGCGTCCCTTTGGCACGTCCCGCGGTGCGTCCCCATGGCACGTCCCTTGGGACGTTCCGCGGCGCGTCCTCCTGGCATGTCCCCTTGTCAATTAGCTCTGGGGCAGATCTCATGTGTTCAGGCAGCTCAAGCTTAAGATCCAGATCAGTTCGGTCAGGACTCGGATGCAAAGGGGGACTCGATCCACAACGCTGTAGAGCACAATCGCGGCATGGCACATCGCAGTTCAGCACGGCGCAGCACAGCACAGCCTCTTGCACGGTACATCAAGATCGATACATTCAGCATTGCAATTTGGCACGTTCCGTGGCGCGTCCCGTGGCGCGTCCCCTTGGCACGTCGCGCGGCGCGTCCCCTGGCACGTCCCGTGGCACGTCCATTGGCACGTTCCGTAGCGCGTCCCCATGGCACGTCCCGCGGTGCGTCCCCATGGCACGTCCCCTGGCACGTCGCTTGGCGCGTCCCTTGGGACGTTCCGCGGCGCGTCCTCCTGGCATGGTCCCCTGTCAATCAGCTCTGGGGCAGCTACGAGATATGTGCTCAGGCAGCTCGAGCTTAAGGTCCAGATCAGTTTGGTCAGGACTCGGATGCAAAGGAGGATTCGATCCACAACGCTGTAGAGCACAATCGCGGCATGGCACATCTCAGTTCAGCACGGCGCAGCACAGCACAGCCTCTTGCACGGTACATCAGCTCGATACATTCAGCACTGCACTTTGGCACGTTCTGTGGCGCGTTCCGTGGCGCGTCCCGTGGCGAGTCCCTTTGGCACGTCGCGCGGCGCGTCCCTTGGCACGTCCCGTGGCACGTCCATTGGCACGTTCCGTAACGCGTCCCAATGGCACGTCCCGTTGTGCCTCCCCATGGCACGTCCCCTGGCACGTCGCTTGGCGCGTCCCTTGGGACGTTCCGCGGCGCGTCCTCCTGGCATAGTCCCCTGTCAATCAGCTCTGGGGCAGCTACTAGTTATGTGCTCAGGTAGCTCGAGCTTAAGATCCAGATCAGTTCGGTCAGGACTCGGATGCAAAGGAGGACTCGATCCCTAACGCTATAGAGCACAATCGCGGCAGGGCACATCGCAACTCAGCATAGCGCTGCACAGCACAGCCCTCGGCACGGTACATCAAGATCGATGCATTCAGAATTGCATTTGCCCGTCGCCCAATCAGGTGTCTTTGAAGCGTTGTCTATCTTACAGTTCTATATTCCTTTCGGGGTTCGTGGGTCGATCATGTTCGTGTTCTCGGCTTGGGTTCGGTTTTCGAACCTGCGCAGCATTTTTGATTGTGAACCGATGAGTCGTGCAACTTTTTTCATCGGGAACTGATGGGTTGTGCAACTTTGTCCGCTTCCTCGGGTGTGGGTCGGTTTCTGCATTTGTGCAGCCTTTAAGATGGTGAACGGATGGGTTTTGCAACTTTTTTGATTGCGAACCGTTGAGTTGTGCAACCTTGTTCGTTTTCTCGGGTTGGGTTCGGTTTTCGATGCTGTGCGGCCGTTTTCATTGGGACCGATGAGTTGTGCAACCTTTTCGAGTGGGAACCCATGAGTTGTGCAGCCCCGCCCTAGCGTTTTCCGCCGGGTCTATGAAGAATGCGCAGGCTGCCCCGTAGGTCTACCAAGCATTCCACGCATTCGTTCGCAGATTCGACGGACGGGTCAAGATTGGGCAATTCAGTTCTGTAGTCGATCCCCTGCTCGACTCCTGCCCTCCTCGAGGGGCAGGCCCGCCCCCAGCCGACCCCTCAGGTCCAGCAGCAGGGGGCAGCGACGACGACGACGACGAGGACCTCGACGACGACGGCGGCGGCGACGACGACGAGGACGACGACGACGAGGACGACGACGACGACGCCGAGGTCCACGACGACGACGCCGAGGCCGACGACGACGACGACGATGCCGCCGCCGCCGCCGACGACGACGACGACGTCGACCGCCGCCTCCTCCACCCCGCTCCTCCCTTCCACAGAATGATCCCCTCCACCTATCCCCTCCCGAAGGAATCGGTGGCCTGCTGCCCCAGCAGCGAGCGGCAGAAGGCGGTGGGAACGCCACCCAACCCGCTACCGCACACGGTGCATCTGTGAGATGCGCATGGCAGAAAAGGCGTGCTTCCGCTTCGGACATGTTCGCATTGTGAAAGTCACGGCGGGAGATTTCCCAGGATGGGCGTGGGCCCAGGGTTGTGTGGCAGTCGGTGTAACCTTGCTGCCATGTAAGGGAAGGGCTGGCTGAATCATGCTTTAGAGAGCTGCGTAGTGTCCAAGTCCCAGTTGGGAGATGCGCTCCTCGCCGGCCCGCTCGTGAAGCATACGCTCCAAAGGTCGGACCCTTACAGGATAACGTGGTCCGCAGACACCCGTTTTCCAGTGTAGAAACAGGCTGCGTGGCGAATCTTTATGTTCAGGGCGCTGCGTACTTCGCAACATGCTATGTTGATGCAGCGTTCACGTGAATAGTCACCTCGCGTGGAAACAATGGTTTGAGTACGTCTCCTGTAATTTGCTAGCGTTCTATGGTAGTTATGTTGAAATTGTCTCAGGGCTGTCTCTGGGATTTGGACTGCCGGCGAGAGTCGTGAGGCCTCTCTTGGGCTGTCTTGCCCATCTTACCCACACCGCCTCCACCCTCCCACTGCGGACTTACATGATTGATGGATTCTTCGCGATGCCAGCGATATCGCTCGGCGGTCTCTCCCCCTTAGCTCGGGAATTGGTTCATTGTTTTGGGTGCTACGGGTCACGGGTGGGGGGGTCCTTAATCGTCTGTTTCTGTGGGAGTTGTTGCTCCCTCGCCAGCGCAGCGACTCCGCCCAGCCGCCGACGAAGAAGTTTCTGTGCGAGCTGATCGCACGTCGCTCCGCTCCGCTGGGCGGGCGGCCGGGCAAGGGGCCGACCCCCGCGGAGGGGCATGGGCCGGTGGGGCCGAGGTGCCCTGGCCCAGTGGTGGTGAGGAGGAGGAGGAGGAGGAGGAGGACGAGGACGAGGAGGAGGAGGAGGAGGAGGAGGAGGAGGAGGAGAGAGTGGGAGGAGGAGGAGGAGGAGGAGGAGGAGGAGGAGGACGAGGAGGAGGAGGACGAGGAGGAGGAGACCCCAACCTAACCCGAAGACCCAAGTTTCGGGTTGGGGTGGGCACGGGTTCTGTGTGCTTTTGTTTCGATGTTCCCCGGCCCACCCCATTGGAAGTCGAGGCTAATTTTTGAGCCTTCGGGCTGAGCTGGGGTGGCTTGGTGGGTGTGGATCGGACCGTCGACGCTTTCGGAGCTGCTCTCGGGGGCCTGGGGATGTGGCTCCAGCGTCTTCAAGTCGTCATCCTCCAGGGGCTATTCGCTAGAGTTCGTCCTGCAGGCGATGTGCACCTCGTCCCCGAACGCTCTCCAATCGCCCCGCCAGAAGAGCCGTAAACGATCCACGACTACTGGTGTCGTTTGCGCCTCTGTGTTGCAGTGACATCTTGGGGTCGCAGTTTAGCCGGCATGCGGGCGTACAGGAGGCGGTCGAATCGCAGCAGGAGGCGCCAACCCCGATCGCGTGCCGGCCCATCTTGAATGGCACATTTGAGGGCCGCACCCTTGGCCTCCTCCATTGAGTGGTCCAGGGACGAGTGGGCGCCCTCCCAAGGCGGCACTGTGCACCGCAGGGCCTGCTCGACATCCACGGAGTCCCACCAGTCCAAGTTCGAAGGGCCCACGGTCCAACATCTCGGAGGGATCGGTCTGCGGGACGGCCGCCGGGACGTCGGCGTCGAGGGACACGGTTGCGCCGCGGCCGACGACGTCCTGGAGCTGCGCTTCCGTGACACCGTCGGCGCACGTCGTCATGATGTCACCTGCATGGATGCCGCCATGTACGCAGTCCAGGTGAAGGAATGCACCGCCACCGCGGTGGGCCTTCGCCAGTGGGCAGCTCCGTAACTCGCCAACGTCGAAGGGCTCGCGGCAACTTTGGCTCCCTGCCCGCTGTGCACCTTCTTTGGGGTCGAACATCGAGCACAAACCCGCGAGACATCTGGGGGCCCACAGGCCGCAAGCGCGTTCCTGAGGTGCCGCGCCGCCGGAATCAGGGAGGGGGAGGGGGAGGGAGAAGAGGCCAATTGACCCTGCCATACGGCGTGCGCTGGTGAGCAGGTTCGGTATCAGGCCGCTGCGCCCCTCTCGCGGCGGCTTGTCCTCCTTCTCCTCCTCCTCCTCCTCCTCCTCTGCCTCCTCCTCCTCCCCCTGTTCCTCTTCCTGCTGCTCCTCCTCCTCCTGCTCTTGCTCCTCCTCCTCTTCAATTATGCTCTTCGAGTAGCGGCAGGAGGGTTGGCAGTCGTGGCGGCGATTGCAATCGTACCCCTTGGGCCAAGTGTGGCTTCCTGTGGAGGGCGGGGGTTCGCTGCGTCGCTCGAGCGTGGGAGGTCGGCGTACGCGTCCTTGGCGTGGTGCGGTGCCGTGCCGTGGTGCGGTGTCGCCGCGTGCCGTGCGGTGCCGTGGTGCCGAGCCGTCACGCAGTCACACTGAGCTGGGTCGGGCGTGTCCCTCTACGGGGGGAAGATCCAAAGCCAGTCCAACAGGATGGTCGGGGGACGATTTTGGGGTGTTTGGGGAGATGTCCTGTCTATTCTGGAAGATTTGGGGGTATTTTGGAAGATGTTTGGGGGCAGTTGGGGAAAATTCAACAGCAGTCCAACAAGATAGTCAGGGGACGATGTTTTGGGTTCCTTGGAAGATCTGTCTGCCTATTCCTATTCTGCGTCCAAGGTCCGCCTGCAGGAGGACATGCCCGACCCGAGCACCGTGCCGTGCCCTCGTGCGCGGGTCGGCCGTGGCGGTGCCGCCCAGCGCGGGCGGGGTACAGGCGGGGTCCTGAAGGAGGGACCCTTTTCGTTGGGGAGGGGCTCCGTGTTCCCTAATTGTTTCGCAGCTTGCCTTGGATTTTGCGAAATCGAGGTTCAACTTATGGAGAATAGGGGCCTCGTTCCTTATTTAGGTTTCCTTAGGTCAACGCCTCGACTGTGTACGAGTACCAGCCGGGCGCCCGGGCCGGGGTGGCGGCCGAGCTTCACTGGTCAAACGACGCGAAGATCGGGACAAAATCGGATCGGGATAGCTCGAAATCTCTGAGAATCAGCGGGTTTGGAGGATGTATTGGGCGCCGCGGCCGCTCCAGAGCGTTCCGGAACGCTCTGAGAGCGCTCCGGAACGCTCTGGAGCGATTTATCCCGATCCTAGCCGTGTTTTAGCTGGGCGGCCGGCGAGGTCGGTCTCCCGCCCGCCCGCCCCGTGAGGACCGTGCTGGACGAAAGGGGGGGGAATTGGGAAAGGGGGGGTTACGAAATGTTTGCTGCGTGCAGCTGGTTTCGACCCCGCCGAGGGGCCCATTCCTCGATACATAGCCGCCTCCGGCGCCGGGAGGCGCTGGGAAAATCAGCTACGTGAGCTGATTCTCTCCCCCCCCCTTTGCTATCCACCCCTTTCGCCCGACCCGAGATGAGGTTGCTGGGGGCGCGGGCTTGCAGGGGGCGTCTTCGGGGGGTTCTCGTCCCCACGGGGCCCGCCCACAGGAGCGCCATACACCCTCTTGTGCCAACAGAGGGCGCGCAGTCTCGCCCCAGAGCCACGTGATTCCCAGGCAGTTTTTTCTCAGGGGGGCGCCGAACGCGCCAAGGAGGGGCTGGAGCGTCTCTCCAGGGAATTTAACGGGGATTTATTTTTTGGCTACAAGAGTCCAGCAGCACCCGTTGTGAGAGCTGGCGCCTGCCGTGTTCGGCGCGATCGTGCGCGGCGGGTGGTTCCAGGGGGCCTGTAGGTTCTTGGGCCGCGTGGACTGTGGCGCCATGGGAACTCCAGGACGCTCCTTCGCCTCCTCCTCCTCCTCCTCCTCCTCCTCCTCCTCCTCCTCCCCCTCCTCCTCCTCCTCCTCCTCCTCCTCCTCCTCCTCCCCCTCCTCCTCCTCCTCCTCCTTCTCTTCTTCTTCTTCTCATCATCATGGCAGGTGATTGAAGCCACAACGGGAACGAGGCGAGATGAAGCGGGATGGAGACAGAGGCGACGAGGAACCCAAGAGACACCCCAGAGACCCCATAACCAGAACAGGAACCCGCCAACGCACCCCCCCAAGAGGGGAGAAGCAAGGAGGAAGAGCAGGAAGAGAGGAACCCGACGACCCCGGGACAAAGGGCCCCCAAAGGCCCAGCCGCGGAAACCCGGCCCCAAGGCCCCCAGAAATTCGAGCCGCGTCCAGCAGGCCACCAGCAACTACGCAGCTACACTCCCGGCTCAGTCAGACGGCTCGTACAAACGGACGGCTCGCAATCAAACGTCTTACATCAGACGGCTCGAAGTCAGATGGCTCGCACCATTAACAAATTCAAATACTGGATGCTCTGCTGGGTGTGTTGCCTTGGCCTCTACACAAGACAAAGCGTTCTCAACCAAAACTCTCTTGTCAATTCACGAACGAGATGTAGACTGCTCGGCCATCGCAGCCCATCGTCGCGAAGTCAGCCGTGACCGGACCAAGGCACTCTGGGCGGCCTTGAGCCGGATCTGCTGTGCAGCATCTGCAGGCGACGCGGGGGAAGCAGTCCTGGCGTCGGCCAGAGCGGCGATGGCTTCGGACTCCAGCAGCTTGTGTCGCTCCAGCGCCTCCTCGAAACTGTTGGCTGAGACCGCGCCCAGGTTGACAGGAAGTGCGGAGGCCGTAAACTCAGACAGCAGCATGACTTTTTCTTCGGCCCACCGGATGAGCCTGGCAGCGTTGTTCTCCACCTCGCTCGCAACATCCTGGACACAGACTGGATCCCTCTCTCCGTCTCCTGAGGCTTCGCTTGCAGGTCGAGGCCGAGGGGTGTGACCAGCGCTGCTCGGGCGGCCCGCATCTGCACGCGGACCGGCGCCAGCACCTCCGCGAGGCTGAGCATCTCCACGAGAATCGGCACTAGCGCCTCCCAGATGATCTGCACCAGCACCTGCCGTATCGCAGCAGCCCTCTGCGGCAGCCCTGATCGCCTCCACCTCAAGCGCCGCACTGGCGGAGCAGGAACTCGGTGCAGCAGAGGTGGCCGAGGATGCACGAGGCTCGCCGGATGGGCGAGGCGTGACGCGCCTACGCCCCAGCGGAACGGCGTCCATCGCCTGCCCAGTCCGGCCAGCGGCAGCGGCAGTGCTGACGCCAGGGCCAGCACTCGCGCAGCTGGCGCCAGGTGCTCGGGCAGCGGGCGCCGCCTCCTCGCCAGCCCCTCTGTCAT